GAAATAATATATATTTCCAAGTATACTACTCCCCGCGGGTACCGCGTCCTTGTCTATTCCGGTGCAATCAGAAAATGTGTTTCTTTACACACTGAAAGGGACCAATTGAATGATTCTATCATTAAAGTGAAAGTGGAAGTGCTGCTTTTTTAATTTGGATAAAAATTGTTAGAAATATTTTCATTTTAAATAAATTTCTGTCATTGATAGGAAAATCCATAACTACCCGAGTGTGTTGGAAATATTTTTAAATTTTACCCCACATTTACCAGTTAAACTGATAATTTCATGTTCTGACAAGTGAAGGTCGTCTGCTGAAACTGTAGTGAAGTCATATTTTATTGAAAAAGTTCTACTGAAGCCAAAAAGGGCCATCAATTTACATACCACGGTACCATAGTGCTCTCCGTTTAAGCTGCCATTCAAAACATGGCTGAATGACCATAGATGTTTCTAATTTAAATCATTGAGTTATTCTATGAATGACAGGTGTATTTTAAAGGCAAGATGTGACAGTTAAACACAATTTATTAAAATAGTAAATACAAGTTCTTTTTATGTGTACAATTTGCTGGAAATAATAAGAACGGTGGTACCATAGGGGACCATCCTAAATCAGACTACAATATTCATACTTAATAGTATGCCATACAAAATGTTGAACATGTGAATTTTTCCAACTAAACCAAACCAAAAGTCATAATGCTTTGCCACCAGTATATAGCTACCCAAGCCAGTACATCAGTGTAGCCTGATAGGCTCTTAACTGTTGGTAGCTCAGATACTGTTTTTAGCTCCACTATTTGAAGAAAAGGGGGGAAAATTGTACGCGCCCTGCATTGGCGTTTGTGTTACACTTTGGTTAAGTTTTTGCATGCAAGTTGGTATCTCCAAAAGTACTGAAGGGAATTGGTTGAAACTTCATACATTTATTTGAGATAATAATAGGTAACTGTCCAAGGCACATAATTCTAACATGAATTTGACAGAATTATGGCCCTTTTTAATCAAGCACTAAGAATAGTCGAGCACACTGTCCTATTACTTTGAATGGGTTGCTCTAATTCAAAAGAGGGCAAATCAATTACATAAATTTGGTAGGTTAAGCATTAACCATCCAGTGTTTCTAAGGATAATTCTCTTTGCCATCATTATACATTATACAGTCACGGGCATTAATTAATAAATTCATGGTGTCAGACCAGGCCCTGTCAGACCAAGCTTTTCAATTTTAGAATTTTAATGCTGAATCGCTGGAGCTTCATTGAGGTCCTAAAGCCTTCAAACATATAATTTAGATAAATCTTACACTGATCTCTTTGGGCAGTGAAAAAAAGAAAAATAACGCAAAAGATTATTAAGAAATATATCCAGCAATTGAAAATCAATATTTTTTTGTGATTTTTAGTAATTTGGTAAAAACTTGAAATCTTTCATTTTGGGTAATTCTGTACAATTCAAATGATTATTCTCGAAAAATGGAGTGAACAAAAACAGTGAAATTTTGCACACTAATTATTTGTCATGGGACACAAATCTCAAAAAAAATAATTTCTAGTCCCTGCAAAATGTCAGTTGAGTCTGTGAAATATGTCTGTTACATGAATTGTCCAATATATAAATTGTTTTGTTCATTACATAAATTGTTTTGTTCATTACATAAATTGTTTTGTTCATTACATAAATTGTTTTGTTCATATATATAAATTATTTTGTCCATTGAACATATTTTGCAGAACATAAATAACTTGCATTACATTAAGTTAAGGATGGTGACTTGTTTTGTTAATTACTATTTTTACAATAACAGCATTCCAGGAGGTAGAAAAATAATTTTGTAAATAGGAAAAAATTCAAAATATACAGAAATAGAAAGTTTATGTCACAACTGAACATTTTTAAGGGTAGTTGATGATTTTGATGTGTTATTTATCCAGTGTGAAGAGGATTTGAAAGATCATCATTCTGTAGTAAATATATCAATATTTGTAATTTTATAGTAACTCTAAGCCTTCTAGCTGCCAGTAAATCTACCCATGTTAACCAGGACAGACGATAATGTCCATACATGGTTTGCACTTTAGTATTTGTTCATATTTTAAGGCAGACAATTCTATTTAAATTTTAAGATATTTAGGGTTAAGCTCCTTATTCAATATTAAATTACTTACACTCTTGATCATTTATTATTATCTTATCAAATGTAAAAGGGATTGAACTGAGGGGGGCGTGGTTTGGCATGACAGAACTGGATAAATTTTTTTGAGATTTTTTATACCATTTGATGTAAGTCTACACCAATAACTTGTGTATAAAATTTCAGTTCATTTGCTCACCCTATTTTTTCCAGAATAATAGTTGGGGGGTTTTTTGTTCAAAATGACATGAAATGAAAAACGTTTAAAAGCTTTTAACTGGAATCGGGCCCAAGTATATTTCTCTAAAAAAATCATATTTTTCCGTATGAAGTGCTCCTGTTGATCTATGTGTATATATTTCAAGATTTCCAAATATTTTTTTTCAGACTTTTGGACCTTTTATAATGTATTTTCTGTTCAAATATGTGTAATATTATATTTTTTCATTACAGATCAGATTAAATTAGTCTGTCAATTTCTTTGATGTATTATTAACATTTGTTAGTTTTTACATCTTAGTGCTCGCCAATTTTTTTAAGCCAATCACCGACGAGGATTTTTCAAATTTTCAGGTTTCAAATCTTAATAGAAAAGATTTTATATAAACTGGACGTTTTATATTATAAAACGCAAGTGGGCGGAGCACTAAGCCGGTTAGAGTGCATATTGGATGTTCTTCGTAAATAAGAAAGCTACAGTTGCTTCGCAAGCTCCGCTCCTTTTTAGCTTTCTTATTTACGAAGAACACCCAATATGCACTCTAACCTATACATAGTTCCATACTCATATATACAGTTTTAAGTTAAAAATATATCAGAGATAGAGGGAGCTTTGTTGTTTTTTTGTTTTTTTTCGTAAGTGAGAATTGGTTATTTCATCCATACTGGGCATACTTGTATGCTTTTATCACGGTGATAGGGCGATTACCACAACTTTTCCGCGCAACGTCAAAATATCTTACTTCTGTCCGAGACACCGTATATTTCTGTGGTACAAAATGGACAGCAAGTCTGTAACCTAGACGAAAACAGCAGATAATTTGCTCAAAACAAGGTAAAATCATCATTTTTTCTTTTTCATCGAATGTGCCATTTAATTTGAAACTTATTTATCCTTACTACATGCAAAATGCTTCATTAATTAAGTCAGGATAGTGAAAACATTTAGGGCATACTGAAAAAAATCTTGCTTTGATTACGAAATATAACGTATTTCTAGTCCGTTCAGTTCATATAACTGGCCAAAATACAATATAATATGTACATTGTTGTCGTATGAACAAGTTACAATACATAAATAACCCGTTTTTTGTATATTTGGTACGATTTTTATGTTTCCACGTGTGTATTTTAAGGCACCGCACAACTTTGTCAATCATAAGATTAGGGCACCGCATTCTTCCTCCTGAAAATCACCGCATTTTTCTGGGGTTTTTTAGCACCTGTTATTTTTGATATTAATGTTTGCTTTCAGAAAAAGAAGACGTTCAAACCGATGTCTGAACAAGCCAAAGCAACGTGCGAAATTTGCAAAGCTGCATATACTTCCAGAAGATACTGCAGCAACTGGAGAGCGCCCAACTAAGTCTTCTGATATCAGCAGTACGCCAATGGATCAGCGCCTCCCTGTATTTCAGGACGATATGCTTAACGCACCACATTAGAAAAAGAATATGAAGTCAAACTTTTGCAAAAGATTGTTTAATAAAAGCATATTGGAGACCATGACTGAAGAGATTATGGAAATATTGCCCGGGTTCCTGCAAAAACTACACCATGAAAATTTATGTTATGACTTTTGCAACTTTATCAAATTAGTATGCAATAAGAAATCCCCATTAAAAATATTTCATTCCTTTTTTTCTCGATGTTGTTAGATGGTATAGTCTGCCAAGAACTTCAATCTTTCCATGTGGGGTTTATCAGTTTGAATAAGTTCGAAAAGGAAAAGACATCCTTATCTATATATAGATACCATTGCACTTATCTATAACTGGTAGTATTAACACAGATCAGACCTTCTGAAATTTTCCATAACATAACGTATGATAACAGCAACATAACGTAACAGCAAGTAAACAATCTTTCATCAAATGAAACATATTTGTATGAAGATTGCATAATTCAAAAGAAGACGGTGGCCAGTATTTATCGGTCTAACGGAAAAAGAATGCGGTGTTTGAATTCAGTGTTGTACGGTGCTCCAATATTCGGGTCAGTAGGCCTTTTTTCAACATATATTCCCTGAAATTTACAATAGAAACACACAATTTTGTATGGAACTTGAACTTAGGGTTAACCATAATAAATATACGAGCTCGTTAGGTCATAGAACAAAGACATCGTCGTTATAACACACGTTTTTGTGACTGGTACGAGTCATGTTGAGGTACACACGATCTTTTGTAAACACTATTTCTTCGAAGTATGTGTTTTTTTGTGAATTGTATTGTGCTAGATTAACGATAAATTGTCTCAAAAATTCGATGGAATACTTAAACAATTGGAATAATCTTGCAATGTCCAGCAGTAAGATATTTTGTAAGCTATAACCTGGAATTTGTTTATCCCGCCATTAATATTTTGTCCAGAAATATACGGTGTCTCGGTCAGAAGGATGGTATTTTGACGTTGCGCGGAAAAGTTGTGGTAATCGCCCTATCACCGTGTTTATGTAAAATATATTAATGTTAGAAAGACAGAATGCATGATGGCTGGAGCAATTTAGTTTGGAGTTGGTTGGTTTTCCAGTACTGGTTTACTTAATTTCAGCTGGAAACCATGATAGCCGAGTTTACCGTAAGTTTAAATACATATTTAACATTCTGAAAGCATTATAATTTGATGTTGTCTATGATTTCAGACACGAGTATTGAAGTCAGATTTTGCAAGATATAATGTTGATGAAGAAGATATAGAAGATTTGGATCAAGAAGAGAATGGCTGGAAGATCATACATACAGACGTGTTTAGATACCCACCACACAAAAACCTGTTCTGTGCTATACTAGGTATGTCTTGTATTTAACTCTATCTAAAGCTTAAAGGAATATGCCTTTGTGCATATTTTCATGAAAATTTTGTAAAAAGGTAAAATGTTTTCAAGTGAACATAGAAATTAATTTACGTATTGCATATTGCACTTATGAAATACCAATCAGCATACGCTCTGCACAATCACTTCAAAACTTTAAACATAAATACATAGAAAATTGGAAAAAGACAAATCAAATATAAAATTGTAAGAAAAACACTGCTCTTGTTGAAATATTGTTATTGTCAAAGGTTTATTTGTAATTTTGAAATGCCTTGTTTCACTGTATTTTTTTTGTGTGCACTTTATATAATTATTGTCATTTTCTATTGCAATATCAAAATAATTATGTTAATGTTTCTGCATAATATTTCATGTTATTCACAACTATATGATTGTAAATATGTACATTTTATGAGGCCCACAGGGTAGATTGCCTTTGTTGCAACTGTGTAGCCTCTTTACAAAATGGGCCTTTAATGTTTCCTGATGAAAGACAAGGACTTTTACCCAAAAAAAACTAGCTAAATTAATCAAAGAATATCGATGTATATTACAGGTGTAGGTATGCAGTTTCTGACGCTAGCTACAGGAATTATAATAATGGCGATGCTAGGGATGTTTAACGTACACAGGCACGGACAAATCAACTCTGCAGGGGTTATACTATATGCATTTACCTCATGTAAGTATCTCTTATACGTTTCCTACGCAGGAGTTTTACTATATGCATTTACCTCATAAAAATATTCAATAAATGTTTTTTACCAGGGATTATATATATACGATACATGGGTTTTACTTAAGGTTATACTATATACATGTATGTATCCAATACATGGATTTTACATGGGAGTTATACTATATGCATTTGCACAAATTCAGCAGGGAAAGGGTTAAAACACATAGCAAAGTACAATGTAATGACTTTTCAAAGTAGAAAGTACCATGCTTTCTCATTTTTATTTTAATAAGTGTTCTGTTTAGTTAAATTGTTGTCAGTATTTTCATATTGTGTGATTGAAATGAGTTCAGGGTGGTTACTTTCAACAGAAACAAAATAAATAAAAAGAAAAATGTGCAGGAAATGTTCTCATTCTGTATTTTAAGAGGATAGAAATTTGGTGAGAAAAATAGTAAATACTGTCAAACTTTTTATTTGTCATACTAATTTTGCATTATTTATGTAAAATTTCACCAGCATTATAAAATTATTTATGAATTTTATATTCAGGCATCAGTGGTTACATAGCAACCAACATGTACAAGAAGATGGGCGGAGAAAACTGGGTTTGGAACATAAATCTGACCTCAGCATTATTTGCTTGTAAGTACACACATGAAGTGGTGGCTTGGATGAGTATGTTAGCGAGGTGGAGTGGTAAATGTGTCAGACTGGTACAATCATGTTATATGATGTATAAGGATAACTAGCTGCTTCGTTTTAAATCCCTTCTGAGGCCATCAGTTTTTATCTTGAGGAAAAAACTTTACACTCATTTGAGAGTGTTTCTATAAGCTTTAAGCATCCTTTTTAATCAAACTAAAATAAATGCTGTATATCCTTTTTTTTTATATTTAAATACTTTGCTGCTTGTATCATATACTAGGGGTGTCCTGGGCCAACTAGTTAAGGTTGTTGACTTCAAACTACAAGTTACTAACTGCTGTGGGTTCGAATCCTGCCAGGAAATTTGGACTTTTCCGTTGGGGGAAACCAATCCTGGCCCGTTTGTGTCTGAAATAATGCATTGAGGGGCACCCAGGGTCTTCCTCCACTAGTTAAAGGACTGAATGATGTGTATTTTACATGAGTGTCATTATCATAATGCCAGTACATTATCATTGAAAATATAGGAAGTTAAATTGAAGTAGGTAATATTATAAGATTAAGGAGTCATTGTAGGACTAACTTGTTAATCAACAGTAAATCAACAGTACTTTTTAAAGTCTGTAAAAGAGAATTGTTTACATACTACAGTAACAATGTTGTTATTTCAGTTCCATTTTTCCTTGTTTGGGCGATAGTGAATACAGTAGCATGGGGCTATGGAACAACGCAGGCTCTCCCATTTGGAACCATAGTTCTACTCATGTGTCTATGGATGTTTGGTATGTATGAACTTCCGTCTTTATTCATGGTCTTCTTATCCAAATTTTCATTTCCCCTCCTTGTGGTAAAGGGGTTACATTTACATGTATGGATTGAGACATCAGAATTGCAGCCACCTTTTAACCCCATGTGATTGTAAGAGTGTTCGAATTACTGGATTTTATGCATTTCTTAGGTGGTTTTGATTAAGTTTGTAACACCCGAGGTTAGCTAAATCATCTGCCTGTTATGTTGCCATTAAACAAACAAAAAACAGAACAAAAACTATATCAGCCCATATCTAAGCCCTTTTATTAAGTGTTTTAAAGAAAGTCCACTGAGTTTTTTTGACATGACTGAAATTATTCATCATGATTAATGTTCCCATCACTGTCAAGAGCATAGATCTTTAGCATGTAGCATTACTTTATTGACCTTTCCACTATAATAGGAGCATCTGTGGCCAAATGGTTACGGTCATTGACTTCAAACCATTTGCCCCTCACCGCTGTGGGTTTGAATCCAATCAGGAACTTTGGATTCTTTCATATGAGGAAGCTATCCAGCTAGCTTACTGAACATCGGTGGTTCTACTCAGGTGTCCATTCTTTTGGTTCTACGAAGGTGCCTATTTTGGCCTGAAATAATGCACTGAAGAGCACCTGAGGTCTTCCTCCACCAGTATTGTAGCTGGAATTGCTACATGACATATATTGTGTTGGTGTGATATAAACCAGTCAAAAATTGAGACCTTTGTCGATGGTTTTCATTTCTTGTGCGATGATTACTTTTTTCCATTTTCCAATACAGTTAAAAAATTGAAAATATTATATTATCAAGCAGAAAGTTATGTGAGCTTCCCATGCAGTATACTTGTAGTTGGAGCAGGGTTCGTACAGTGTTAAAAAGTTCTTAAATTTGAGTCCCTTTCTTAAAAAGTGCTTAAAAACGTAAAAAAAGTGCTTAAAAGTCCTTGAATTTGATTACTCTCTTGAAAAGTGCTTAAAAAGTGCTTAAATTGGCTGAAAATGTGCTTGAAAATGATTGAATGACACAGTGTCGATAAAAATCAACAGTTAACAAAATAAAAAAAAATATACAATTTAGTATCAGAATCAATTAAATGTTTGCTCAAAGTAACAGTAAGTGGACAAATTGCAGTTGTTTCGAATTAATCTTTATTTGTTGCGCCCTTTCTAGTTCTTCTATAACATCCTTAAAATTGTGGCCAGAAAAAAATTGTGGCCAGAAAATGCGTATTCAACAAAAAATGGCGAAAAAACTATCCTTATTAGATTGAAGATTGTTGATTTAATTAAGTGCAACAAATGTGCTTGAAAAATGGGAAAACGTGCTCAAAAAGTGCTTAAAAAGTCCTTGAATTTTGGCATTGGATGTCTGTACGAACCCTGTGGAGGATATTTGCCTCTAGAAGAAATCTGCCACCATTTCCCATGTTGATGGAAAAAAACCAAACTTATATACATGGAAAATAACTATCAATCTCATGTAACAAATACTTATGTAAAAATTTATCTAAAAGAGGACAGGAAATGTTCTTTAATATAAGGATTAGTCTTCTTCAGACTTTTCCATTAGGATTGTTTTGTACTAGCAAAATTGTGTTAATATGTGTAGATTTGTTTTTAAAATCTTTCCTCAATATTTCCATGGGTGATAATGAAAATGTCATGACTATTTCTTCTTGATTAAAATTCATATTTAAAGGAGAGGCATATGTGATTAAAGGGACCCCACTGAGGTTTATTGATCTGGCAGGACTGTAAAAAAAATCACAATTTTTCTACCATTTGAAAAAGGTCTTTTCTGAAAGTTTTTTTGCAAAATTTCAGATCATTTGCTTGCTCTTTTTTTATCCAGAATGGTCATTTTTATTGTACAAAAAGACCTTAAAATGAAAAAACACTTTAACATGAATGTAAGTAAGAATCATTGACTTTCAATTCAATTCTGGGTTTATTTCAATATTATCCTTTTCATATTTTTCTGTTTTAAGTGCCCCAGTCAACCTATGTATGATTTTTATGTTTAAGGCTATTTGTACCCTTTGAGTCACCTTAAAAGTCCTTGATTCCAAACTACTTGTCCATTTTAGTGTGTTTTTATTTCATCTAAGACTTTAAATTCTTTCTTTTGTAGAGAAAGCTACCCAGCTTGCTTATTGAACATTGCCTCTGATTGACGTCTTTCTCCACTAATAAAGCTAAAAAGTCAACATAATGTGTTTATATGGTTTAAAATACAAAAACAACATATTTGAAGGACATGTCCCATGGCTATATAGTTCTGGTGTAAAGGGATAAACTCACTTATCTCACTTTTTTTTGCCTAGTTTGAACACTTAATTTTAATTTTCAGAGGTCTATAAGATTATAAAGATATGATAATAAGAAAACATAACTTCCTTTTAGTATGCTATGTTTGTGATGTATAAAATATGCTTGATACACCATGATAACAGTTTATTACACATATTCAACAAGCTATTGAATTTGATGTATCAATACAAAATTTTCCATTAGTGACAGTCCAGCCCTATTTGGCAGTTTGAATTTTCACTAACTAAATATGGAATATGTATCAAATTGGATTTTCACTAACTATGGAATATGTATCAAATATCAATATTTATCACAAACTAATTATGGAATATGTATCAAATATCAATATATATTAATTTGTTGTTCATTTTTCAGTCGGATATCCACTAACTGTGATAGGAGGTATTTTTGGTAAAAACTGGGCAAACGGTTTCGATGCGCCATGTAGAACTAAAAATATCTCACGCGAGATCCCGTCAGTACCATGGTACAGATCAGGTTTTGCACATTGCATGGTAGGAGGATTTTTACCATTCAGGTAAATAAAAACAGTTTTTGGCCAAATGGTTTAGGATGTGTGCTTCTCAACCATTGGATCGAGATTTTGAGCCCAACTGGTGCTAGTAGCATGTTGCCCTCATATACATTGTATCAATGCTGGATAGATCTTTGCAACATACTGGAAAGTAGTCCAAATAAGCCCCAAGCTTTATTGCAGTCGGTTTAGCCCAAACAAATTATAGAAATCTTATACGCAATGCCGATACAGACTGAAATTTACAGCTCTAGGATATCTTTTTTTGCTAACGAGGCTCTGCTGAGTTTCTGCTTAACAGTTACCTGATAGCTAGATATTTCCGTCTGAGACACCAGCTGTTCATAATAGGTGCCCAGGATTGATGCCATTTATGGCATGCAACTTGTCATACACAGGGGTCAAAAGGAAGATTTTCTTGCTCTGGTGTAAACAGTAGAAAATACTGTCTGATATGCAGGAACATTATGTTTAAAATAATTTCTATTCCGTTTTCTGAAGCAAAAAAAACAAATATTAAAAAAGAATCTCATTGTCGTTTCTTTTTGTGGGTAAGTAACATTTTCAACTCATTTATATACATACACATTTGAGATTTAACTGCACTTCATGAAGATGCATAAATTTTTTTACTTCTTGTGACTAAAATCATGAAAGGGTATTTTAGGACTTCATTCGCCAGTCAAATTTCAAAATAGCTATAAGTGGTGATCTGACTTGCAGCCCTTCACAAATATTATATATATAAAATTGTAATGTTAATTATTTTCAGTGCCATATCCGTGGAGTTATACTATATATTTGCCACACTGTGGGGACGTGAACAATACACATTGTACGGTATTCTGTTTATTGTGTTTGGAATACTTCTGAGTGTGACAGCCTGTATTTCCGTGGCATTGACCTACTTTCAACTGTCAGCTGAAGATTACCGCTGGTGGTGGAGATCTATCTTCAGTGCTGGGTAAATTTTTTTATATCTACTGTTAAATTAACCCTTAACCTGCCTAATTTGTGTATTGGCTTTAAAGTTTTACACCCCTTAGCTCCAGCAGGTGAGGTGGTTTGAACCCCTGGTATTGCTTTAAAGTTTATAACAATGCAGGTTAGCCAAAATCATCTTTCCTGTTTCATCGCCATATGACCTAAATTGTGTTGGTGCGCCGTAAAAACAAACAAAAACAAAAAACCACTTCATTTGAATGTTTTGGGATTCAGACTCAAAATCTAAACCAGGGCTGGCCTGAGGTTAATATATACTGGGCTGATTATACGCAGGTGGCAAAAGCTCATATTACACAAAGTACAATAAATTCTGTAAAAATATACTAAAGGCTGATCACTCTTTGGTTTCAGCAGGTTAAAGGTTACCTTGCTAAATGTTTGCAATGGACCTGCTTGACCTGCTTTAGGGTTTAGGACTGTCCATTGTCAGTTTAAATGATTGCAGTATCAAAATATAATAAAATTAGGCAGCCAATGGTACAAGTAAAATCTCTAGAAGTGTCCACTGGCCTTTCTTGATACCTAATCTTGTTTTTCGGTTAACCCATACATGTTTTTCATTTTAACATTATATATTATTTAAAAAAGAAAATAAGGTCAAATAAAGATCCTGTTGCTTTATCTATGAAATTTTACATGGCATGAGTAATCGAAAACAGTACTAGCAGAAAACTTATCAGATATTCTCTCATACTATTTCAAAATCCAAATTTACATGGAAAATTGCTCAGTTTCTAACTTTACTTACTTGTAAGTCGCGATTTTTTTTAAGTCAGAATTTGATTTTTCCTTATGTGCAATAAATTATCATATGATTATTATTTCTGTATCATTTCAGTTCCACTGGATTGTTTGTGTTCCTATATGCCCTATTCTACTATTACAAACGTTCGAACATGTCCGGCCTGTTGCAGAGTCTGGAATTCTTCGGCTACACTGCTCTGACGTGTTACGTATTCTTTCTAATGCTTGGAACGGTGTCCTTCTTTGCTTCGTTGACTTTTGTGCGATATATTTACGTTAACTTGAAGATGGACTGATAGAAAGGTGTAAGGGTACACAGATTTTATAAAGGTTTACATTTGGACACAGTGATAAAATAGATAGACTTATAATCATCACAGTGATATAATAGATAGACCTATAATCACTGTTGCTAACTGTCCTTATTTTTGGACGTATTTTATATCTTGTATAAAAGAGGACCAGTCATCTGGCTGTTTATAAAGCTATTGCTGTATCTGTGTTAACAAAAGCATACAAGTTTCTTAGGACATGTGTTTTCAACTCGTATCAAGCTTTATTTACAGTACAGACTTATTCTGCATTCAATTTCTTACTGTCCATTGTTAGTGTTTAGAGGTATTGGCAAGTTTTTTAGGGATATTGGCAGAACTTCCATCAGATATAGGCATTGAAATAGTAAGATAAATATTTGTTGCTTTGTAACATTAAAGTCATCCAGAGTTTCACTGGGGCATGTAAAGGCCCCATTTTCAGTCTAAAATAACTTTTTTTTAGTTTAAATATTTCTAACTAAGTTTGTTTCTCCAAAACTATTGAAAGGAATTGGTTAAAACTTCACATGATCTTTTTAGAGCATAATAGGAGGTCACTGTCCAAGGACCATAACTCTAACCTGGATTTTGATAGAATTATGGCCCTTTTTTTGAACATGGTAAATTTTACATTTTTCCAGGCTCTTGTTTTACTATTAAGCAGTGAGAACATTCAAGCTTGCTGTCCTACCAACAGCTGTTGTTTAGATTCAGGCGGAGTAGTTCTGCTTAAAATGTAACACTTATACAATTGTAGCTATATATGTGTGCCTATGGGAAAATTGCAAATTTTGGTTTTTCATATACATGTATGTGTGTATCTGAATGTGGAGGTATTTTGTTATTGGTATATTTCAAATTGAGGTTTAAGAATTTTATGTTTGTTGAATGAGTGAAACAATATTATTGTTAAACATACCATTACATGAGAAATGATTTTTGTTGAAAGGCCTATCGAGGGTTATGTGAAATAAAAATACTAATTTGAAGGAAGATACAATGTACATTTCGTAGAATACATGTTATAGGGGAAAAAAGTAATTTCAAGTAAAAAGAATTTTTTTAACTATTTGTCATGCCAGTGAATGATATTGATAATATTTCACTGATCAATTTCAGTCTAGTCTTGTTCAGATATAATGATGATTTAAGGCCAAATGGACATTGATACACCAATAGGTTAGTAAAACATGATAAGTTCTCTTATATAAAAAGGCAAGATAAATATTTTTAAAAAATGGGTACTTGTCAATAAAAAAGGGAAGATAATTGAAAAAAGTCAGTACTTTTCAGTAAAAAGGTAAGATATCTAAAAAGAATAGGTATTTGTCAGCCAAAAAAGGGAAGATAAAAACAAAAATCGGTACATGTCAGTATAAAGGGGAAGGTAAATTTTTTAAGAAAAATTGGTATTTGTAAACAAAAAAAAGAGAAAATTAAAAAAAATGGGTACAACGTAAGTACAATGGGTACTAAGTAAGTACAATTTGAGGTCTACATCCTAGAGAGGGGACAGAAGAAAAGATAGATAATAAAAGGGAAGATAACTTCTAACAGGATTAAGTAATGACTGCTAATGAAAGGAAGATTGTTATGTTGAAGAGAATGTTCAGGGAGTGACAGAACAATATAAAGTTATTGAGGATGAACAGTGCATAAGGATTGACACAACTTGTAAATTGATAAGGTCATAATGTTAATTGAAAATTTTCCTTTGTCCTTGTGACCTAATTTTTATTTTTTTCTTTACATTTTTGTACTTGCAATGTACTTAGTAAATCTTTGGGAATGCTGATAGTAATCTTGCTGCAAAATACTAAATTTTTAAGTTCATTTTATAAATCCATGATAATTAAATGTTGTATTTTTTAATAAATACATTTATAGTGAAGAATATGTATATATATATAGATTAATTTTGAAAGAGGTTTAGTTTTGATTTGGTGTTTTGCATTGTTTTAACTTGAAATCATTTGCTTTTTTCTTCGCCATTATGGCATTTTGTTTGTATAGTATAGAGACTTTGTGGCAAATCTTGTTTTGGTTAGGGAATACAATTTATTAACTCCCAGCCTAACAAGGCTTTATATCATTTGGCAGCTCAAGTTTTTGCTCGACCATTCAAAGAATAGGGATAGCTATTGTATTTGCCTAGGCATCAGTGTTGTTGTTGTACCCATCACACTTTTGTTAAGTTTTGTGCATGCAAGTTGGTATCTCCAAAACTTGAGAGGAATGGGTTAAAACTTCACATACTTATTTTTTTGAGCATAATAGGAGGTCACTATCCAAGACCCTTAAAATCTAATATGTATTTAGACAGAATTATAACCCTTATTGAACATTAAAAAAATCTACATTATCCAAGCTTGTGTTTTACTATCAAGCATTAAGAATGGTTGAGCAGGCGGTCCTACTCACAGTGTTTGTTGTATTAAGTATGGCAATACCATTTGCACAATTTTATCAGGTTGATGGTTACACTAGGTATGATATAAAATATCATAATGTAATGTGATAGGTAGGCTGGCTGGGTGAGATATAGAGAAATGTGTATTATGTTCAAACATGTATATTACTTAGTAAGATGTTGTTATAGCCCTGTTTTGTAATATCTGAGTATCATAATTCTTGCCAGATTTGATCAGGGGATGGTACATGTCTCAAACTTGATGTTACACATAATTACACACACTACTCATGTACAAACTGATTCTTAATATCTGAAAATAATGCTAGGTGTTTTTTAGCATAATATATATGAGCCGCGTCATGACAAAACCAACATAGTGGGTTTGCGACCAACATGGATCCAGACCAGCCTGCGCCTCCGCACAGTCTGATCAGGATCCATGCTGTTCGCTATCAGTTTCTCTACTTGTTATAGGGTCTGTAAGCAAACAGCATGGATCCTGATCAGACTTCGCAGATGTGCAGGCTGGTCTGGATCTATGTTGGTCACAATCTCATTATGTTGGTTTTGTCGTGACGCGGCTCAATTATATATATATACTACCTTGACAATAACCAGTATGAGAGGAGCGTACAACGATATATAATAAATATATAATATAAATATATATATCTTATAATCAATATGTTAATATTGATATATATTTAAATTGTACAATCATTTATGCGTTTGAAATAAATACATCCTGGTTTTACACAAACAGACATGTATATACTTTATTATTTTATTTTGTAAATAAGAGGTCACAAATGGTTAAATAGATTACAAAGTATTTGTTAAGAAGAAATTTTCATCATTGAATCAAGGCTTTGATTGCATTATTTATACATGATAGCTTAGAGTATGCTAATAAGGAATATTTATTCATCATAGAATTAATGAATATTCAGTGTTTTTGCAAATCATGAATATTCAATTTTTTTTTCACAACATTACCTTAATTGATTAGCTATGGACAATTTCTTAATTTAATAATCATTATATTATTCATGTTGTAGGATAATTATGAAAATTCATTATTTTTGCTTATCTTTTTGTATATTTGTATGCCCTCGAAAGGATGGCTTATAGTTAATGAATTGTCTGTTTGTCTCTCATTTAGGTAAAGTGTCATGTGCAACCTGCAGTTGTAGGTAAAAGGTCAAGGACAAATTTATGCTTGAAAAAAGGTTTTTAAAAAGTACATTTATGGTTGAGTCCAATTAACAAATCTGTCTTACCTGGATCAATTAAAAGAAAACTTGACATGATTAGGTTGTACATGATGATGATATGTCAAGTCAAGTGCAATCATAATGCCTCCAGCTCCAAGGGTTACACTTGTATGTCCAAAGTCATAGTATGATTGTGATTAGATGAACAAGTCTGGTCCATGACACTGCCATTATTACATGGATATTGTACATAAATGTTTGTCACATTAAGCTGATTTGTCTTGCAAAACAAAGGCTGGTTAGTCAAGGATGCACTTACTGATAACTTGAAAGATAAACATTTTAATAGGCTTAGGAAGGCATATGCTTGTTCACAACTATAGGTCTTGTTTGAGATTATGCCTATATACCTAATAAGGTTATACAAGGTTTAAGAAATTAAATGCTGTATTGTTGTTGTTATATTGAAAAGTGAGGAACATAATTTATGCGACAAAGGTTCCTTTCAGATTTTTAAGGGCTTACAAAGATTGTTAGAGTTTATGTGATTTTTAACATTCCATCAGAATATTACGAGAGAGGTGACATTTTTTGTCATCTAGAATTTCTTTTATCCCCTGCCAATAAGATAGAAAAGGGGGGCATTGAAATGGCATTGTCTGGCTATCTGTCTGTCTGTCTGTTTCCATTTATGGGTGGATATGAGTATTAGTAAATCTTCTATGATTCATTCAGTCCCTACACTTGTTTACATGTCTAAGAGAACAACAGAGTCCTAATTCATATTAAATTTTATTAATAAAAAGAAGAAACTTTAATCAAGTGATAAGTATCATATGACAGGGGGTATCTTTTCAAAACTTTGCTTGTTAGCTTGTAATTTATTTTATGTTATTCTTTTTTTGTGTGTGATGCGGGGGAATGTGTGGCAAGTTTAAAGAATTATTCGCTTTACTTAAGAGTTGAATGAGTTGAGGTTTTTATTCTATTGTAATCATGACATCAATTTTTCATTATGTTTTTTATCTAGGGGATGTTCATCGTATAGTTGAGGTAGAAAAAGAAAATGGTTAAAATGGTTAAATTTTTATGAAAATTTTATGCCTAGAGTAAATTTGGTTGTATGCTGGTTGTTGAATATGTCAAACATAGAGATAAGTTTTATGTAAAAATGTGATAATCTATATGTATGATGATAGTTATTTGACATTTTTGTCATTTTTGTGTCGCCTTGAAAAGGTGACATATAGGGATTACTTTTGTCGGCGGTGTCGGCGGCGGCGGCGTCTGTGTCGGCGTCGTTGTCGTTGTCGGCGTCCGCTAAAGCTTGTCCGGAGCATAACTCAGTCACTTTAAGTCTGATTGACTTCAAACTTGGTATGCATGCTTCTTTCAATAACCCGAAGTGCAGTGCACAAGGACCGGTACTCTGCAGTTCTTATTTTTTGAGTTATTGCCCTTTGTTAATTTTCATACTTTAATTTTGTCCGGGCCATTTCTCTTCAACTAAAAAAGCTATGGACTTGAAACTTCATAGGATGATAGATCTCATTAAGAAGAAATGCAGTGCACAAGAACCAGTGCTCTGCACTTCCTAATTTTTGAGTTATTGCCCTTTGTTAATTTTCATACTTTATTTTTGTCAGGGCCATTTCTCCTAATGTATAAAAGCCATGGACTTGAAACTTCATTGGATGATAGGTCTCATTAAGAAGAAGTGCAGTGCACAAGAACTGGTACTCTGCATTTCTTATTTTTTGAGTTATTGCCCTTTGTTTATTTTCATACTTAATTTTTGTCCAGGCCATTTCTCTGAAAGTATAAAAATTATGGACTTGAAACTTCATAGGATGATAGATCTCATTAAAAAGAAGTGCAGTGCATAAGAACTGATACTCAGCATTTCTTATTTTTGAGTTATTGCCCTTTGTTGCTTTTCTTACTTTATTTTTGTCCTGGTCATTTTTCCTAAAGTATGAAAGCTATGGACTTGAAACATCATAGAATGATAGATCTTATTGATAAGAAGTGCAGTGTACAGAAACTGCTGCTCTGCACTTATTATTTTTTTAGTTATTGCCCTTTGTTATTTTTCATATTTCATTTTTGTCCTGGCCATTTCCCCTAAACTACATTGTTCACAAGGCGACACATCCGACTCGCGGAGTTCTAGTTAATATTGTAAAATCATTTGTGAATGACACACAAAATGTATACTGGTCCATTTTCCGGATCTGCTTGAACACGAAAGTGTATAGTCTTAGCCACCACTTGGTCAGCTTTGAATTTGCAACAGTCCTTTGTTATATGAAGAGATTTACCAATTTACAAGCTGGTTTGTATTGGTGGTAAAGACAAGTTAGTATCAACAATTATTAATTAAAAGTTAATTATTTATTAATTAGTAATTAATTGGTTATTAATTAGTAATTAATTATATACTAATTAAAAATTAATTAGAAATTAATTAGCTATTAATAAAAAAATAATAATATAACAATTCATTTGTACAAATCAACATGTGATAGCTGTATTATAGCTTATTGTGAAGCAAACAAAATGAAAACTTGTTATTTGTTAAGAATACAGGTTTGTTATAAATGTTGCATCCAGGTTGCATACAAGATTTTATTTTGCTCATGTACATTAAGAAATCCAAGTTTGTAATTACAAAAAAAAAAAAAAAAACAAATCTTTATTCTTTTGTCTGTTGGCCTGTTTGTTTCAGAACATAAATTTGTAATTTTAAGAACAAATTAAGCCCTCAATTATAGGAATGAGATTGTGACTTTCTTAATTTGAATTTGAACTGACCTTGGAATGAAACGCTGACCGCAAGTGGTACAGTTGTTGCTAAAGCTGAGGGTTAAATTAACGATGAGAATAGTGCTATATAGTGTATTTTCAATTTGAGATCCATATTGCCTAGAGCCTGATAACCTGATTTTTACAGTTTTTAAGAATAATAAGAATTATATTTATATTTATTGAAGTTTCATTAAGAAAATCTTGCCAGAAAAAATATTCTCTATTATCTGCAAATATAAAATGTAACAAATTAAAAAAATGAGTTTCTTACAAATTATCTTATGAAGTTGTATGTGATATAAAACTTTGCTATGAATGAACATTAAAGTGAGACTGATTTATTTATTTGTTTTATTGCTTCTATAATTATGTGATGTATATATTATTGGTAAAATCTCATTCTATGGAAACAAATATACGTTTAAAAGATGCTTTTGTTATACATACATTTTCAACCCCAATTTTAGCCTAAATGCACTTCATCAGGTTGCACATTCGTTCCAACCCTTTCTCAGCAACTTATGATTGGAATTAATAAAAACTCCTACAACCACTAGAAACTGAACATAAAAGAAGCATTTGATGATTTGTTAGAAAGTTGTGTCACATTGATTTTTGTCTGGACTGTTTCTCTACAAGCACAAACTACTTCAGAGCGCTACTTTGAATGCTTTCTAATCCAAGATCTACCTTTGTTGCACTAATATAATATACACTTTTGTTGTGTCCCTTTACAGCTTTAGTGTCAGTTGAGAACATTACAGTGAGGACCAATATGCTACCCAATGATTTAATGATGAGGCATATATATGTCACATATCCATGCGTTCTTACTTTTTTTCTACATCAACGTTCTCCCCACATTGACTTTTTTACAACATGTAAACGGTACTGAATGAAAAGCACAATAACCTATTGCCCCCATAGCCATTACTGGCCCATCAGAGTATCAATTTGTAAGAGCGTCTGTCTATCTGTCCAGATTTTGTTTTCGGAATTTCCCTCTGCAACCACAAGCTTGAATTTATCGGAACATCATTAATAGCTCCACTATTAATAAGAGCTGTGCATGTCAGCACAAAGATTTTTTTCACGAAGTGCCCTTTAACAATCTTTTACATGTTGCCAACAAGGTAGAAAGAAAGGGTCAATGCAGGTAATGGATGCCAAGCATTCAAAAATTAAGGAATCGAAACCATTCACGATTTTTAAACAACTCGAGTACAATGGGGCTATACAATGTAGTCCGTTTCTTGGAACTAACCATTATTGTCTCTCAAATCCCCTCGGTACATGTCACGTATGGAGAGGGGCAGGGCATCGGCCTAGGCGATGGGAAGTCGACCTTAAAATCGTATGTCGGTATACAATTATATTATACTAGTACTTCCTCTATTGCTGGAGTCCGAGACCAACTGATAATGTCCTGTAGGGAGTTGACCTACAAAGTAGGTAGGGAAGACGAGGAAATAAACAAGGGTGCGTGAGTATCTAGTACGGCTCGACGGATTGAAAGGTAGGCCATTCGCTTAGCCACAACAGCCCGTATAAGGACTACCTCACCACATTGTCTCGGGGAACTTTATGCATATAGGTGCTCATTGACCCCTTTTCAGTGATCTACTTTTGGCTCAAAATTCATGTCTTTGGTTATAATACTCTGGAAATGGCACGGAAGGTAAGTCATTGCTACTCCAAGCAATTGCAGTTTACGGGCATGGCTGTTGACAGGTCCGTATTCGATATTCGACAGCGAAAGCTACTTTTTGTGCTATAATGGGCTAATTGATCTTGATTAAATTTAGCCACACACGGGCGCGCGTACACGCAGAGTATCCTTGTCATATGACGATTACATGCAATACACGTTAATACCCATATTCCCAATATTGAGAGACAAACACCATAATAACTTTAGGGTCAGGATTCCCTTTGTATTTAACGTATCGGAAACATTCTTTGAATAAGGAGGGAAAAGAACATGCAACAAAAAGGATGAAGATGCCTACAATTTTTATGCCCCCGAAGAGAGGCATAATATATTCACACCGTCTGTCTGTCCGTCTGTGCGTCCCCACTTCATTCGTGTCCGGACTGTAACTTTGTCATACATTGAGGGATTTTAAAATAACTTGGCACAAAAGTCTAACACATCAAGACGATGTGTCGCGTCCAAGAACCACGTCCCTACCTTAAAGGTCAAGGTCACACTATCATTTTGAAGTTTCACATTATGGCAATTAGAGCAAATAGTTACACACATTCGTGTCCGGACTGTAACTTCTCCATGCATCGACTGATTTTAATAACTAGGCATAAATGTCTACTACATCAAGACATGTCGCGACAAAGACCCATGTTCCTACCTTCAAGGTCAATGTCACACTTATAGTTTGAAGGTACTCATTCTCTCGAGAAGAGTTTGAAGATACACATTCATGTCCGGACTGTAACTTTGTCATGCATGGAAGGATTTTAAAATAACTTGGCACAAATGTCTTCCACATAAAGACAATGTGTCGCGGCTAAGACTCATGTCCGTGTGTCCCCACTTACACAACAATCATGTCTAGACTGTAACTTTGTCATGCATTGAGGGATTTTGAAATTATTTGGCACAAATGTCTGTCTCATAACAACATTTTGTCGCGTTCAGGAACCACGTTCATGCTATCACAATTAGGGATTACAGTACAATAATACAAAGAACAATATTCAGCAATTAGTTACTTTCATTCTCTTTTCTTTCCATAATACCTGCATGGTGTACGGACATAATCCCCTTCGGACAAAATCCCCTTCATGTATTTTTGTATATCCGGACATAATCCCCTTCATGGGTGGACATAATCCCCTTCATGTTTGAAATTTTGAAGTGGACAAAATCCCCTTCATAAAATTGCTACCTAGGACAAAATCCCCCTCAGAGGAATTTTCGGTTTATAAAGTGGGTATGAGAGCGACATACTGCATTATGCTGTGTAGTAAATATCTTAATGTATAAATAAGTAGAAAATATTTCAGCAGAAAAGCATTCAATTAGCAACATTTAAATCACATAAAAATTGCTTTGTTACAGCATTCATAACAATCAATCAAGTAGTGCAGTGATCTTGGTTTGATTAAATTATCACTCTTTCATCAATAGAAATTGTAACAATGGATAGTATATATCAATTAGAATTATCAACTTATACAATCAATGAAACAATTATTGGCTAATAAAAATGTTTTTCATACTAATCAATTTAAAACAATTAAAGAAATTGCCTAATCAAATATGTGATATGCAGTTGATAATTTACCATAATTTTAATGAAAACTTCTAAACTAAATAAAGGTTAACTATTGATACATAATTATAAATAAAAAAACAAAAGTTCATTATTCATCAATTTTTAGGGAGTATAATAATACATTATTCATCAATTTTTATAGAGCATAATAATACATTAGAAACCTATGAAACAAGGGGATTTTGTCCGGGTAGTGAAGGGGATTTTGTCCAGCCTTGCAAAAAAATGAAGGGGATTATGTCCACCCATGAAGGGGATTTTGTCCGGGTAGGTGAAGGGGATTTTGTCCGAAGGGGGTTATGTCTGACATTCTACCTGCATGCTTAAGAAACCTTTTCGGGGGCATTCGTCACTTGGGTGACAGCTCTTGTTTTAAATTATCAAGTTCCATTGTCATGTCGAATAAATAGTCACAAAGTGAATGCATATGGATTGTATATATAACTCGTTTTTATCAGAAGGAAGACTCGCTAATCTACATACCTAAGAAAAACAACACCTTTGAAAAGTTAACCTTTGAAAATGTTTACTAAAGTTAAAGTTTAATTTTGCAGCCTTTTACGTAGACAAACGGTTCACGAGCTAAGACAACTCCACACTCCCCACCCCATTACAGCCAGTTCATATCTTTTTTTCTAGAGTAAATGTGTCAGCAACAATATTTTTTCTTTATTTTAAAGCAACATGAGATATGCTTATTTACATGAATATTTTCTAATTGTGCAGAGAAAGTAATTTCCACATTGCAAATGGCACTAACAATCCACGTAAATTTACTAAAAGGAGGTCAAAATATGCAAAACAATAGCCAATGTGTTGGTCACGCAGTAGAAATATGGTGATGAATACTGCAAAGACGGGATTATAACTTAAATCTTGAAACCTTTCTCCTTCTTTAAAGTAAGTGTACAGTTTTCTCAATTATCAGTAGATCTATGATATTGAATTAATTAATGTCAGGATTTTGGCAGTGGTTTGCCGACATTAATTTTTGATTACCCCCTTTTAGTGGTTGCTAGTTAGAGAGCCGGGATCTTTCAATACTAGATTCATGACGTTGTCTAGAACTTACCATAGAAATACCTTTATGACTGTCGATTGCTTGTTTTTGGAGCTTTTCTCCGTTTTATTTCTGTAAAGAATATCAACACACAAAATAAGGTGAAATCGTTATTGGAAATATTTCATATAAAAAGAGTAAAATGCATGATAATCTAACATAGAAAATGTACAACAAAGTTACATATTAACATTACAATCGTTATAAAAAGTACTATAAAAAGTACTATAGATGTATGCTTAAGTAAAAACTGCATTTTTTATTATGCATGTTTGAAACAGAAGAAAAAAATGTATATAAATATTTTTATATTCACATTACAGGAACTCCACTGAGATCTAAAAGCATAAAAACACAAAATTTGAAATTCTTGCATATATCAAGCGCATTTAAAATGAAAAAAAAAATGAAAGAAAAATATATATTATATTAAATATTATTAGAAAATAGCCGAATTTTAAGCCAATTTGAGTGTAAAGTTGTAGCAACAATATTTTCATATTAATAAAGATCATTATAAAACAGAGTAAGGTAATAATCACGGATAAGTTACTATAATCCAGACCTACCTACGTCAAATGGTGTACGTCACATTAAAAGAAAAACGTAAATACTCGTACATGCATTTTATTTTCAAACGCTCACAGAATTATATATACAGCTCTTCTAAGTGTTCAAACGTCCCGGTATACGTGTCATTACTTTCGTTTAGTTTTAAGCAATACATGAAATATATAACCTACGGGAAGTAACTGTCTTTGTTTATTAATATATGTATATATTGAGTTATCTCCCCGAAGCAGCGTTTGCATACGAAGAAAATGGGAAACTTATTGGATAGCTCAAAATTAGTGGTTGGTATATGTTTATCAGAGAAAAAAAAACAAACGAATGAACAGGGGCAAAATGAATGAATGAATGAATGAATTATTTTTATATATATTCATCTAAACGTAAACGACTTTTAAAAGCACTGTTCAGAACATCAACAAACATTGTAGAGAGCATCATAAAGTTGATGCAAGATAATAAAATACAATAAGGGAATAATCTCTTTGTTATATAGTAATGATT